TGTTCACCTGAAGTCTCTTCACCTGAGGCGTGTTCACCTGAAGTCTCTTCACCTGAGGCGTGTTCACCTGAAGTCTCTTCACCTGAGTCATGTTCGCCTGATGTGTCTTCACCTGAAGCATGTTCACCTGAAGTCTCTTCCCCTGAGGTGTGTTCGCCTGACGTGTCTTCACCTGAAGCATGTTCACCTGAAGACTCTTCACCTGAAGTCTCTTCACTTGAGGCCTCTTCCCCTGAGGTGTGTTCACCTGAAGTCTCTTCACCTGAAGCATGTTCACCTGGAGTGTGCTCACCCGAAGTCTCTTCACCTGAGGTCTGTTCACTTGAAGTGTGTTCACTTGAAGTGTGCTCATGTACAGCATGTTCACCCGCAGCGTGTTCACCAGTGACGTGCTTGCTTGAACCGTGTTCACTGGAACCATGCTCAGTCAAAACATTCTTACCTGAAGAGGTCTCATATAAAGCTTCAGTATCTGAAGGGTTTACAGGTGAAAGGTACTCATCTGAAAGTCTCTGAACTGAACCTTGATGATCCATGGAGGCAGGAGGTGTGTCAGGTTGACCAAATCCTCCTGTTATGGAGAAGAAAAACAAGAGATGGTAAAGGTGAGAGAGAGAATGGGGTAAAGCCTACTGTACTACAGAATGGGACAAATAGGGACCCCTAGTTTCCTGTGGGTCCAGAACAGGCACTTGACGATAGTGCAGATATTGGAGGAAGTTAACTAATTACTCCAAGAGACCGTGGAGGATAGAGCTGTTTAGTGAAAAATACAGAGACCACCTTCGGGGATTGAAGGAAAGAGTTTTAAAGTACAAAATACGAAAAACTACACAGGGAGATACATTCACTCGTATACCAAAAGCACCTGAAGAGAAATGAATGTACTTCCCTGACAAAGGCAGCAGCAGGAAATCAAGACACTCATGTCATCAGAAGTCTGACTCCAGCCCTCCCACGAGTCCTTTGGTGAAGTCAAGAAAAATGGAAATAGAGAGAGAGAAAGCAAATAGCCTCTTAATAGCTGAGTAATTCCAGCCCCAGTTGAGGGTGGACAGTTTTCTTCTTTTAAATAAGAATTATTTAAACAGTTCATTTATGTATGTAGCAGTATTGGGGATTGAAACCAGGGCCTTCACAATAAGCTACATCCCCAACCCTTTATTTCTAAATTTTGAGACAGGAAAGGACTTGCTAAGTTGCCCAGACAGGGCTCAAACTCACAATCCTTTGGCCTCATCCTCCCAGAGTGCTGGCACTATGGATGTGCACCCAGCTGAGGATAGAAAATTTTAACCTTTGGACAGAAATAAATTTTAAACTGGAAGATGACCCACAGGCTGACCTTGAGCCCATGAAAATTACCAGAAGAGATTAAGTTGCTCTGTTTGGTAAGATCAGATTCTTTCTCACACTCCTTATCCACATAGGTTGGATATTCAGAAGGCAAAGTTGCTATAAATTATTAGATTGAAAAATTCTGGGTCCAGTCTGATCCCCTTCATCAGAGCATCCCCCCTCAAGCTGCTCAAGTTGGTATCTTTTTCTGTTTTTCTTGGTTTCTTTGTTAAGAGCTGGTCTGATCTTTGTCAGCTCCTCAAAATAAAGTCTCTTACCATTTTTTAAAGAATTTTTTTTCATACCAGGAATCAAACTCAGGATCTTGTTGCTTGCCAAGCAGGTGCTGCAACACTGAGCTGAATCCCTAGCCTCTTACCATTCTCTCTTACTTTCTAAGTAAAACTTTTTCCTGTTAGAAAAGAACAACAACAACAAATTCTTGGCTTATCTTTATCTATCTGAATGGAGATTCCCAGTGACGTACCATTTACACCCACTTCATGGAGTTGTTGGGTACTCAGTAAGATAAATTGTGAAATGCCTTGTCTGTTGCCTAGATGCTCAATTAATTTTAGATTTCTCTTCTCTCTACCTTACCCTGGTATTTGCAAACCCCAAAGAGGGCCATTCTCTTTTTTTTTTCTTTTTTTTTTTGGTTTTTGGTTTTGGTTTTTCTCCGGTACCGGGAACCGAACTCACGACCTTGCGCTTGCCAGGCAGGCGCTTTGCCGCTGAGCTAAATCCCCAGCCCCTGCTAAATCCCCAGGCCCTGCTAAATCCCCAGACCCTACTAAATCCCCAGCCCCTGGGCCATTCTCTTTTGACTAATCTCCTCTACCTTTAATACAGGTCATATTCCTTAAGTGTGACTTTCATTTTAATTGAATGGAAAAACAAAACAGACCATTTGATAATTAACTCTTTGATTGTACTGAGTAGCCTAAGAGGAAGGCAAGAAGACTATAAGGACTGGGTTATAAAGTCTATCTCTAAGCTGAGAGGCATTACAAGATCTGTAAGCTGAGATAGTTATAAGGCTCCTGGGTACTCTAGCTTTGTAAGAATCCTATAACATACATACTTATAATCAGTCACTTTCTAAAAATTTAGGATTGCTGGGTGTGGTGGTACATGCCTGTAATCATAGCACTTAGGAGGCTGAGAAAGGAGGATTGAAAGTTTGAGGCCAGCTTGGATAACTTAGACCCTGTCTCAAAAAACAAAAATAAAAAAATAAAGAGGGTTATAGTTTTTTGTTTTTTTTTTTTTTTTTTTTTTTTTTGCGTTATAGTATTTTGATAAGATTTGGTGAGGTGTTCAATGGGTTTTTATTTTAAAAACATAAATATTTGCTCGACTGATTCTTCAATAGTTAAAACAGCAAAATAAATAAATAAATAATAAAGAAATATTTCTGATATAGAGCAGAAAACAGGTTTGAATAAGCATGCTGATATCTTAGTCACTCTTAGGTCTTATGATCTTACTTTACTACTATGTGACTGGCACATACTACCACCTAGTGGTTGTGTATCTACATTTCTGAATCAAGTGTTTTTGATTTGTTTTGTTTTGTTTTTGAGACAGGGTCTTGCTATGTAGTTCAGGCTGGTCATGAGCTCCCTATATAGCCCACACTGGTTTTGAATTCGTGGTGATCCTCCTGCCTCAACCTCCCAGGTGCTGGAATTACAGGTGTGTGCTACCAAGCTCAGCTCAAATTTTTGAAAGTAACAAAACAAGAAGAAAAATCTCTGAAAGCCAGCATTGCTGAAAACTTGTCATTTCATTGACAGCTCAGCTCCTCTTGTAGTAGGTAGGAGGGAACAGAGTTCTTCATGATTCCCAAAAGAGTAATACAGAAAACTAGATGGATAAACACAACCATAAAGGAGATACAAGATCTCTGGTCCATATACCTATTGTGTTGAGATAGTTTTCTTAGCCCATTTCTTTGTATACTGTCTTGGCAACTGCTAACAAGCTTTCATACTCAACTAGTAGGAACAGATGCTTGCTGGACTAATACTGAACCTCTAGGCTTGTTCTCTGTCTCACAGAACATTAGGTACAAATGTTGAATGGCTGAAAAAACAAGAATAGGAAAATGCCAGGCCAGTGGGCCTCACTGACTATAAACCTATGGCTAGAAGAAATCAAGTGGTTCAGGAGCTGAGCTCTCACTGTTGGTCTTATGTAGTTACTCTTGATTTTGAGTCAGGTTGGTTTGGGTAACTGAGTGACTTCCTTCTTCAAGGGCAGAAGCACTTTAAAGGAGGCCCCTTATGCATCTATCTGGAGCCTAGAAAGATAACTTACCTCTGACAGATCCAAGCAGGTAAAGACTTATAAGTAAGATGAACTTGTTCATTGAGATTTAGGAAAAGAGAGATCTTTAGTGTGAGACACCCAAGAGCTGTGAAGACTTTCAAATGCTGCACCACACAGAACTTCTGGGAATTCTAGAACCTCAGAGACAAGCCATATGTCCTCACAATGGGTTGTGTTCTGAGGTCCTCATCTGTCAGTCAAGTTGGCCCTGAAGCCTAAGGCAAATTCCCCTAGTTCAGGCGGTGAGTATTTTCTATGTCTCTCTCTCTCTCACACTTACTTATTTTTTGGTACTGGGAATCGAACTCAGGACCTGGTGCTTGCCAGGAAGGCTCTTGTGCTCTGAGGTATATCTCCGACCCTCTATTTTACATTTAATCTCTTAAGTATTCTTTTTGTTTGTTTTTTGTTTTTTTGAGATAGGGTCTACTATGTGTTCAGGCTAGGCTTGAACACACTATGTAGCTGAAGCCGGCCTCAAACTCATGGCAATACTCCTGCCTCAGCCTCCCAAGCACTGGGATTGCTGGTGTGCGCCACTATGTCTACCTCTAAGTGTTCTTGATAGTGAGATGTGATGGCTGGTTATCTTCTCTTTGGCTTTTAAAATCTGCTGTCCTTGGCCTTGATCCTACCCTGGAAGGCTGATCTCTGTGCATGTAATCGCCTAGGTACTAAATCTGGGTTTGGCTTCAGATTGAGTTTAGCCAATAGAAGACTAGAGAGGGGAGCAGGGAAGAGAGCAGTATATATTTTTCCTATTTTCATACCACAGATGCCACTGGCTAGGTCTTTTTTTACATTACAAGGTTTCTGTAATATTTCCTCTCTCCTATGGCTCCAGCATTCAACTAGCATATGGCAACATATTTTCCTTTCCCTGCCCTCTTTGCCTAGGGATAACAGTGGTTACCGTTGTTGCTAAAACGTGGATGGCCCAGTTTTCTTTTTTTTATTGCCATTCACTTCTGTACATAACTGTCTTTTTTTCCCCTTTTTTATTGGTACGTTATAGATATACATAATAATAATATTCATCATAAGGAATTTATACCTGTATATGGTATATCTTTTTTTTTCCATTCTCCTCCTTTAAACCTCTTTTCCCCTCCTTATTTACAAAAACTTTGTTTCCACTTTTTCCCTTCTACTCTTTTTTTTTTTCTTGTGCTTTTCTCCTCCCCTTTCCCTTGTTCCCCTTTTCATTTGAACATTTTCTTTCCATTTCCCAATATCTATTACACATTTTGGTCCTTATTTACACTTTTGGTTTCTCACACCAGAGAAACAATGTGGTATTTACATGTTTGTCTGATTTATTTCACTTAAGAATATGGTCTTGAGGTCCATCCATTTAACAGAAAATGTCTCAAGTTTGTCCTTCTTTATGACAGAGTAGTACTCCATTGTATAAAAAACCCTATATCTTTATCCATTCATCAGAGAATGGGCATTTGGACTGTTTCCAAGATTTAGCTATTACAAACTGTGCCATATAAACATGAGTGTGCATGTATCACTGTAGTATGATGCTTTTAATTCGGTTGGGAAGATACCAAGAAGGTATGGGGAGTGGCTGAGCTGGAGATTAACCACACATTGGGGGCTAGAACAAAGCCAGCCCCAAGAACACAGAATGCGAGAGGCAAGCCATGTAAACAAGTTGTTGGGACTTGAGAAAAGCCAGTTCAGCAGGTGTCTGGCCTTGGTGTTCCTCCCTGTTAACTAAAGCACGGATATCTCTGAGACTGTTTCGCTTTCAGTGTTCTCAGCAAAACACTGAGACCTTGCACTTTCAACCCCGTTTGTGCTTACTGTGCACAAAGATACAGACCATGCTGGGTTTTCACTTCTTTTTCATCAGAGAAGTCAGGTCCCACCCAGTCCCACCTTTCCTTTTATTATGTGTTTAGTTTTTTTCTTAATCTTCTGTCACCCCCTCTGAGGACCCTGCTGGCTGTGTGGGTTGAGGCAGAAGGGGAATAGCTGAATCAAATGGAACCTCTAGTTTTAGTTTTTCGAGGAATCTCCACACTGTTTCCACAGTGGTTATACAAGTCTGCATTCCCACCACCAGTGGAGAAGTGTTCTTTTCTACCAGAGCTCTGCCAGCATGTTACTGGTTGATTTGTTGATAATAACCATTTTTTCTAGAGTGGGATGGATAGTCTCAGTGTTTTAATTTGCATCTCTTGAATGACTAGTGACGGTGAACATTTTTTTCATATATTTATTTGCTACCTGTACTTCTTCATTTGAGATGTGTCTATTCATTTCAGATGCCCATTTTTGGATTTGGTCTTTAAATTTAGGGGTCTGAATTTTTTGAGTTCTTTATATATTCTAGATATTAATCCTTTATCTAAGGAATAGTTGGCAAAATTTTTTCCCACATTGTGGGGTATCTCTTCACTCTGTTTTTAATTTTTTTTTTATTTTAAAGAGAAAAGAACAAAAACAAAATAACAAAAACAAAGAGAAAAATAAAACAACACAAAAACTATAAAAACAATACAGAATTTCAAAACAAGATCATAGAAAATCAACAATGGTTGTTGTATTATCGATATCTTCAAAGTAGTTGCTCAGATTACAATATAGGCATGCAGGATTGATCAAACAATTAAACATTAACTGTTCCTTTCAATAAACCAACAGAAATTAGTAATATAATTATCTTAGCTATCTTGTGTGTGTGTGTGTATATATATTTCCCTTCCTTCTTTTCTTCTTTCCCTCATCCCAGTTCTTTCCTATTAAGTAGTTACTTTCCCTTTCACAATATGTATTATACCTTTCAGTTGTATTTATTCTCAGGTTCTTACACTAGGGAGACAATATGGTGTTTACACATGTGGGTCTGATTTACTTTGCTTAGGAGTATAGTCTCTAGTTGCATCCATTTACCTATGAAAGCCTTGAGTTTATCTTTCTTCATAGCTGAGTAATATTCCATTGTATAAAAATACCACATTTTTCTTATCCATTCATCAGTTAATGGACATTTAGGTTGTTTCCAAAATTTTGCTATGGCACATTGTGCTGCTGTGAACATGAGTGCACAAATATCGTTGTGCTATGATGTTTTTAATTCTTCTGGGAAAATACCCAGAAGGGTAATGGCTGGATTAAATGGCATCTCTAATCCTAATTTTTTGAGGAATCTCCAGATGTATTTCCAAAGTAGTTGCACCATCTACGTTGCCAACAGTGAAGAGTCCTTTTACTCTACAGCCCTTCCAGCATTTGTTGTTGGTTGATTTCTTGATGATAGCCATTCTTACTCAGGTGAGACAAAATCTCAGTGTTGTTTTAATTTGCATCTCTCAGATGCCAATGATGTTGAACATTTTTTCATGTATTTACTTGCCATTTGTATTTCTTCATCTGAGAAGTGCATATTCATCTCAGATGCCCATTTTTGGATTGGGTCTTTGAATTTGGGGGGTCTGAGTTTTTTCAGTTCTTTATATGTTCTAGATAGAAGTCCTTTGTCTGAGGGACAGTTAGCTGAAATGTTTTCCCACTCTGTGTCTTTTCACTCTATTGATGATTTCTTTTGAAATACAAAAGCTTTCTAATAGGAGGAGATTCCAGTTGTTGATTCTTTGAAGTGTTTTTTGTGCAGTTTGGGTTTTGTTCATGAAGACTGTGCCTACCCCTATGCCTTTAAGATTTCAACCTACTTTCTGTTCCAGTAGATTTAGTGTTTCTGCTTTAATATTTAAATCTTTGATCCATGTTGACTTTAGTTTAGTGCATGGTGATAGACATGGGTCTAGTTTTAGTCTTCGGCATGTGGAGAGCCAGTTTTTCCATCTTCACTCAGTTGGTGCTTGCTTTTGCTATGCAGAAGCTTTTTAATATGATGAAAACTGATTTACTGATTCTTTGTGGTATTTCTTGTGTGCTTGGAGTTTATTCATAAAGTCTTTGCCTACACCAGTGTCTTTAAGAGTTCTACCTATTCTATCTTCCAGCAGACTTAGATCTTTAGATCTTTGATCCATTTTGAATGTACTTTAGCGCATAGTAAAAGATACAGGTCTAGAGGCTTCTGGGAAGGTGTTGGAGTGGGGAGCAGCAAAGAAAGAACCTTTCTAGGATTTGGTGTCTAGACACTGGAATATAGCAATGTGAGGAAGAGAAGGAGGGAAGTGGATTCCTAGGACCCAAGAAGGATCTGAAGTGAGAACTGAGGCATGAGGAGAGCAAAGAGAGAAACTTCAAAGAAGGAGGAGGGGGTAGTGCTTTCCCCCTTAGCCTGGACTCACTGCATGGGAGTGGCAGCTCAAACCTGCAGATGCATGGTGACTAGAGGTAACCCCAGCGACCTCCAGGGAGAAATGCTTCAATGGGATGGAGCAGTAGAAACAAGACTGCAGTGGCTGCTAAGTTATTAGGTTCAGACGTCTCACAGGAGAGGGTGATTGGCTGAGAGCCATCTTGGAGAGAGAGCAAACTGAGCTTGGAACTCAGAGCAACTCGTGGCTCCATCTAGTGATTCCAGGCTGAGGTCAAACCCGCAGAAGACACATGGATTGCTGCAGGCTAAACAGGTCTGGTTCCAGCCTCATAGCCAGAAACCAGCCTGAACTTCAGTGGAAATGAGGGTGCAGGTTCACTGGGATTATCCACTACCCCACTGTAAAGCTACTGCTGACTTGCTGGGATTAAACAAAATGGATCTGGACTCTTGTCTGCCTACATTGTCTACCAATGACAGCAGAGACACTTTAAAGTGGACATTTTTTTCTTTTTTCGTCTTTCTTGTTTCTCATTTTCTTGTTTTATCTTCTTTTTTTTTTTTTTTTTTTTTTTTTTTTT